ACCTTTCAGCGATTCATTGACCAAGTCCTAAGAGGGTTAGACTTTGTCTTCGCCTACATCGACGACATTCTCGTCGCCAGTTCGAACGATGAGGAACACCTGTCACATCTCCGTCTGATCTTCGAGCGTTTTGCTCAGTATGGCGTGACGATTAATGTTGATAAATGTACTTTCGGCCAATCCTGTGTCGATTTTCTCGGTCACCGAATCGACCACAATGGTATTCGCCCACTCCCCGAAAAGACGCAGGCAATCGCGGATTACCCAATGCCTCAGTCCTTCAAAAATTTGCGTCGTTTCCTCGGGATGGTCAACTATTACAATCGTTTCATTCCAGATTGTTCCCGGCTACTTCAGCCTCTGACCGATTTACTAAAAGGCAAGTCCCGAAAGTTTGAGCCGACAGCAGAAGCTATTGTGGCATTCGATAAGATCAAGCAGGCGTTATCCAACGCCACCGCGCTTAGCCACATGAAAACCGATATTGATGCACCTCTCGTTCTCAGGACTGATGCATCACAAACGGCCGTTGGCGCCGTTTTACAGCAGATAATCAACGACCAACCTCAACCTTTGTCTTTTTTCTCCAAAAAGCTTCAACCTGCTCAAACTCGATACAGCACATTCGGACGTGAACTTCTGGCTATTTACCTTGCCATTAAGCACTTCCGACATCTACTTGAAGGACGTACCTTCACTATCCTAACGGATCACAAACCGCTAGCTTTTGCCTTCCGCGGTTCCTCCGATCGATTTTCACCTCGTGAGACCCGTCATCTAGACTACATATCACAATTCACGACAGACATTCGTCACGTTGATGCCACTAACAACGCTGTTGCTGACGCTATGTCTCGTATCGATCTCCATCATTTCTCACGCCAAACTATTAACCTCGAGGATATTGCGGCTCACCAAGAAGACGATCCTGAGTTCGCGGACTTGAAGACAAACGCTTCCTTGAAATTCTCTCAACTGCCTATTGTTAATTCCGATTCCAAAGTCTATTGTGATCTGTCGACTGGAAAGCCCAGACCTTTTGTTCCGCAACAGTTCCGCAGACTTATTTTCGACCACCTGCATGGCCTTTCCCACCCTGGCATTCGAGCCACGGTCAAGTTAATCACTGACCGCTACATATGGCACAATATGCGTTCCGACATCCAAAAATGGGCAAAGCATTGTGTCACTTGTCAGACTAGCAAGATACATCGGCACACGATCACCGTACCTGGCACATTTGCGTTACCCGACGCTAGATTTAAACATGTGCACCTTGATCTCGTTGGACCACTTCCTCCATCCAACGGTTTCCAGTACTTACTGACCTGTGTCGACCGTTTCACACGATGGCCTCATGCAGTACCTTTACGAGACATTTCCACCGAAACTGTTTCGCGGACCTTCGTTGAAACCTGGATATCTGTGTTTGGCACCCCAGCCACGATCACAACAGACAGAGGTCCTCAGTTCAATTCCGCTCTCTTTCGAGACCTCAATCGTTTACTCGGCTGTTGTCATCTGCGAACAACCGCCTACCATCCAGCCGCAAACGGTCTTGTTGAACGTTTTCATCGTCAACTGAAAGCCGCAATTACCGCATCACAATCGAGTACGCACTGGTCCGAACAGCTACCAGTTATCCTTCTCGGCATTCGCAACACGGTCAAAGAAGACCTAGGTTGTTGCCCCGCTGAACTGGTTTTCGGCACAACTCTCAGGCTTCCCGGTGAGATGGTGTTAGATTCCAGAATCACTGGCGAACTAGACCCGACTTCCTATGTGGTACGATTGCGACAACATTTTTCTTCAGTCCGGCCAACACCGCCCAGACTCAGCCCTCGAAACCAGCAAGTCCACTCTGATTTGCATACCTGCCCTTTCGTTTTTGTGCGCGTCGATGCGGTGCGTAAACCCTTGACACCACCGTATGAGGGCCCTTTCAAAGTTCTTGCTCGCAAAGAGAAATACTTCATATTGGATAGAAACGGTTCGAAGGATTCTCTGAGCCTTGATCGCTTAAAACCAGCGTACGTCGAAACTAAAACACCACAACAAGCCACAGAACAGACGTTTCCTAGTACCCCTCCTACCCAGCCAATGTGTGAACCCTGTGTGCCCCCCTCTACACCCTCCACTAAACCAGTGAGTGAACCATATGCACCAAAGCACATACGCTCTGGACGCGCTGTTGTTTTGCCTTCCAAACTAATGACTACCAACAACGCACAACTTTCGAGCGTTCGTCCTCCCGACTCACGCTCTAGGAGGGGAGCCCTGTAGTGTTTATAAATTCTTCACATTTTCCCTGTAACTTCCTATTCTATCTTCCGTCAATTTTTGTACATTTGTTTTAACTCACTACAAGATATATACTCTTCTCCTAATTTCGTTCGTCTTCTGGTGTCGGTGACGTTGTGCCGCCTTCGAGTGTTGTGCGTGTGCTTCGCATCGGTTGTCGGATCTCTATTTACGATCAGCGTTCGATTACTCCGTTCGTGTCATCGGACAGGTTTGCTGATTTTCACCTTTTGTAACCTGACCGTGAGCAATCGTGCTAAGGTCCTATTCGCAGCGGTTCTAACTCTCTGTCAGACACTATACACTTGGCACGTCTAGACTGTTCCGTTTTGTGGCGGATGCCGATAAATCTGTTGTGTTCGGTTCTGCGCATAGCTTCTAATAGGCCGACAACGCACTATCTGCTTGATAGAGACGAAATATCTCGTACCCAAACAGATTGGTTTGAATGTTACCTTATCGGACTTCAAATCCGGTGCAAAGTTGGGAAGTGTAACTTGTGAAGGTTTCCTAGTCCTCTGGTTATCCTCCGGTCATTTGTAGTCTTGATGGATTAGGTTTTTGCCGGATTGTTTGCAATATTTGTTAGACCACACCTGGAATACTGCGTCTAGGCTTGTCCTTCCTACCTGACTGGCAGAATATCGATAGAGCGGATTTTGAGGGTCGAAACTAAAACGGTTCGTGGGTTGTGGTAGCTGTCCTGCCCTCGCAGGTTTTGTGTTTTTACACTCTCGGCGTCTTCATGGCTATTTGATTCTCACTTATCGCATATTGTCAGGACGGTTTGCTCCAGGTGCCTTAACTCTTTCATTCCGCTCAGTTACTAATTCTTCCGACTAAGTTCCACAAACTCTGATCTAACTTGGTTTCGGTCGACACTTGTTCGTCACGTAATGCTAAACTCGTTTACGCGCTACCTAAGAACCCTTGTTGTCTCCTACTTTGATGTAGTTTAAACAACATTTGGACGCCGTCCGCCAGCAGTTCCGAACCTTCATTTTCGTTACTTAGTTTCTTCACTGCTCCTCCTGCGGTTCCTTACTTCCTTACTTACTCGTTCCTAAACTCCTTTTCAGATTGCATTCTTACGTTCCAATGATGTTCCGCCCTATAAACTTTCTCTTATTGCACCTGGCCGGCACAGCGGGGATTGCCAGTGCAGGATACGTTGTTTCGGTTGTTGTCCTCGATGTGTGCTTATTTGACTCCCACAGATGGCCAATCATACTACCGAACTTTACCGTAAATTACCGACACATGCAACATGGAACAATCATGAGATTCTCCTTTTGTTCCTGTCGCAATTAAAACCGGACTTTTGAACTCGGTCTTTCCTATTTGCTGATCATTAAAGCTAGGTTTCAGTCACCAGTTTACTCGCCGCAAATTACAAGACAATTACACGGCGCAGTCAAGCGTTAATCATGTTCCCGGTGACCTTGAATGTCTTCTTCTGTTCTTTGCTTACCAACAATAGTATTAGAGCGTCCGAGAACCTGCTTCTGATCAGTCAATGTGATTATTCCACTGTATTTCCGGGGAATGGTTAGACTGGTCGTTATCGTGTTGCCTGAGTTGTGAGTTGCTCTCCTAACGCTGATGCATTGTCGGCATGCACTTAAACGATGGGGACACTATCTTGAGTCTGACACAGTGACTATGCAAACACTATTGGATAGACTGACGCGTAGCGCTGCACGCTTCAGCATGTGCTTTGCACCTTCAATGTGCAAAGTACTGCTGCAGGACTGGACCGATACACCGCTGGATCTAGCTATCACCGAACATCCACTGGAAGTGGTAGATAAGTTCACTTAATACCTGGGTCACAGATGGTCGCATCACTAACGAGGTTACTTCGCGTAGCAACAGAACCCGTGTGACTTTCCGGAGACTTAACCGTCTATGGAGACGGCGGGATGTCAGTGAAAGGTAGGGTGTTTTTAACGCTACGGTAAGATCGGTCTTACTGTATGGATCCGAGACCTGGCTATTTCGCGGCGAAGACTTTAAACGCTTGGCCGTGTTTGACCACTGGTGCTTGCGAAGTATTGCTCACGTTTGGTGGGAACACCGAGTGAGCAATGCTGAGGTCCGCCCGTTGGTTTTCGGCAAATAGCCTTCTGGTGCCCCTCACAAGTGTTTGGTAAATCTTAGTCGCTTGCGCTGGCTAGGCCATTTCCTCCGTATGCCCGTTGACCGGTTTCCTCGGCGTGCATTATACACCCTGGCTGCATCAAATTGGGCGATGCGTCGAGGTGGCCACTCCATGACGTGGCATCAAGACATGAAGAAATTGACTGATAGACTTGGTCAGGTTGGTTCGTGCCGTCTTCGTGGATGTGGTCCTCGGGATGGTCCACACTAATGGTTGGAGACCGTATCAGACATGGCGCAGTCACGTAGTCAATGGCTTTCCTGCGTTCGGTCTCTTGCAACTGGTTGTTAATTTTCGCTACATTGTGATTAGTCTAACGCACCCTTCTTGCTTCCATTTTCTTTGCATTCATTCCCACCATCTTACCGTTGTTATTTAGTTATTCTTGTGGCAATTGGATCGACCGCACCTCGATACTAACATTCTAGTTGTGTAACTGAACTGGACACTGTGCTTGTCGTATGCACATGAACTCTTATTATATGTCTTTCTACGAATATCGCATGGAGTGTGAAGTCCTGGGTTTTTGTCCGTTTCAGCGGGTGCCATCCAGCCTGAATTTTTGACAAACAAGGGATTGCGTCATATGTGTTCAAGCCTCGAGATACAGAATGATGAATTGCAGGCTCTTGAGGCCATTTATGGGGAAGACTTCCATATGGTTGAGCCGGAAGCCAGGTTTGTATTTGTCACTACTAATGCTAGGACCCGAGGATCTTTTCTATCCGCATTTCACTAGAGCCTAATCAACCTGGCTCAGACAGAACTGTTACCCTTCAATTCCGTATTCCTCGAGGATATCCTTTAAACGAGTTGATTGAATTTGAGTGAGTCCTTCTGCCCTGCTCCAAGGAATTTTCCTCAGTATCCATGCACCGTGGTTGCGGGGTCCCACTTTTGACCGCATGCACAATGCACTGAAGCAGTTGGCCTCGGAATCCGGTGACTCCCCCATCGTTTTTTCCTTGGTGGAATATGCTCGCACGTTTCTGCAATCGGACGCTTTAGAAATGCATGTTTCCGGAGAACAGGGAGGCGCACAGGAAGTAAGAGGCCAGGCTGAAACGCAACGCGTCACAGGTGCTCTAACTTCCAATGCCCTATCCGTTCGTGCTCATCTGAACCGATCACGTATTAGTAACTCTAGCGATATAGATGGACGCGAGCTGCAGATTTTTCATGGCGAGACAATTGTGGATCGCAAAAGTGTTTTCCAAGTGAGTGACGCACGTTTCTTTCGTGTGTTGATTTAGAGCCCGTTTGTGTAACGTGATCTTCATCTTCCTACCTTTGGTTGTCTATCCAAACTATTTTCGTGCTGTTTGACACAAGCATGTATCATCTCTCATGTCGTGTTCATTTGTATTTATGCAGATTCTGAATGCTACCCAGTCAATTGGTCGGCTGAGGGGTGTAAGACAAACGAGCCTGACTTGACATGGTATAGCATTCACTTTCCACCTGTCACAATTCACCACTTAAAATCAGGACATCTCCATCTTTGAACCCATATATTCTCCTGATTACCAATAAAGCATCATCACCTTGCTTGCTTTGTGCACATGGTAGACATTCTGCCCTTACAGCAAACTGTGGTTCAAGTGCAACTTTCACAGTGGGCATACCCACCGGGAATCTATGGTCGGGTAGTACAGGCGTTTAGCTTGCAACCTCCACATCCAGGTTTCGATTCAACCGCCCCTGCAATGATTTGGGTTTCGCTTCAGCATATCAACCTTCCTACAACCACTTGCGCTTATCTGGCATGAAAACACGGACACATATTGTTGGTGTGGCACTGATGGTTTTCTTTACTACCTTCTTCGGTCCGTGGTTATTTGATCATTCTGCCGAAATCCGGTAGATGCATTCTATCCCTTTTTCGCTTCGTGCTGCTTTGTTTCCCGAAAATCTGCACTCAACGCTATCCCGTCGCTCCTTACTAAACATTTTCATTCTCCTGGGTTGTCGCTTAACTCACTGTTCGTACCACTAATTGGCACTAACCATTACCGGTATATCGAAAATCGTGCTCCCAAAAGCATATAATTGCTGCGCATATATGTCTCTGTTATGTGTCTCATGCTGAGGTTGATATTGCATTCATGCTGCTTCTTCACTGCTGTTGGACTAAACCAACTTACACTTAATCTAAGTCTTTAATCTGGATAAAAGTCCTTCCTCTATTTATTTTGTTCAGTGCTTTTCCTCTGCTGCGTATTCCGTGTCAATTTTACGTGTTTGCTTTCCCTTACATTCTGTCGGTTGTTTGATATCCGCGGTGTGACTGCGCTTGATGTGAATGTTGACAAAGTGCCTACTTGTCTAATACCCTCCACCTCGATTACTGGCTCCAGGAAAATGAATCGTTGCTGAGGGGAAGGGGGTTCCCGGTCCTCGTGGCCGTACTAGGCTCAACGAGTGGTTCCATCTAGTGTGGAGCGGACTACGGCCCAGCCACCGCCTTGTGTACACCTGGTACGCCTGATTCCCGACATAGATGGACATGAATGCTGCCGCTGTGCATGTTGAAGGAGTGTGGGCCAGTTTCGTTGATGAAACGTGGCTCCCATTCACCTACTTCCCGGTCTTATTCCTTCGGGTTTACACTGGATATGGGTGTGTGTGAAGGAAGCTGTGGGTAGTGCAGCGCAAACTATCCATGGTTCTTCTGTAGGCTCAGGCTTCTGTGGCTGTCCTGTGGAGGCTACAATGACAGGCATATCCGGAACCGGGTGCTGCCAACCATGTCTCTACTATACCAGAATAGTTTGTACTGATTGCTTCTAGTCTGCATGAGCTGGCGCGTCTATTGGTAATTTCATCAACTGAATTTGTTTAGAACTATCGTGTGACTTGACCTTCCCATGCCTCCTAGAAAGTGTCATCTTTTTAGGAACGGGTCACAAACAAACATGGACATATCAGTACCATTGCACATGTACTTACTACACCGTCATGTTGCTTTAACTGTCGGATGCACTAACTCGATGTCCTTTTGGCTTACGTTACCTGATATTCCCGATGAGTAAGCTTGTGAAAGGGTCTCAACTTCATCCACCACAAGCAGTCCCGTGCTCCCTTCTCGGTTATAACACATTTCATCTGAGTCTGTGTGGTTTCACTTCACTGTTATAGGCTCATTGCTGCCGTGTCCAATCGGTAGAAGATGTTTCCCGATTCATCTCCGCGGTGTTGAATGATCGCAAAGTTGCTGCAGCCACACACAACATACTTGCCTGGCGATTCATCACAAAAAGCTCCATGAGCTCCTCTGACGTTGTACTGGCCGATTGTGACGACGATGGAGAAACTCATGCTGGGTCTAGGCTTTTGCACTTATTGACAATATCGTGTGCAGAAAATGTGGCCGTCATGGTGAGTTTTACAATTGAATCATTCCCTTACCACACGTAAACAGCGAATAATTGGTGTACCACTAAGGGCACGCTAGACTTGGCGATGGCAATTCTGATATGTAGTTCTATGTATGGCATTTGCTCCAAACAACCATTCAGGTCCTCTCCATATATATATATATATATATATATATATATATATATATATATATATATATGTTATCAGTAGTCTATGAGATAGACAGCGCCAGCAAAAAACCATGAAACGGAAGTACTAAATACAGAGCCCACAAAGAATGAAAGTTACAAACGTTTTTTTTCTCTTTGGATCTTTTCTTTTGTTTTTTTTCACGCGCCGTTTTATCTTTTTTGTTTGTTTGATGTTTGCGATGTAAAACAAGACAAACATTCATACACATTTACCATTGGGCCTGGTTCTGCGTCATCTCCGAAAGAGTTTCCAGCCAACGTTGTTCTTCATCTTTGATCCGCCAGCCCGGAAGACGCACGGGACTTACGATAGCTAATCTGGAATTCAGCGCTTTAATCGTTTGTCGCCATTTCTTTCAGGCTGATCCTGTGCAAGCGAAGAGAGCGCGTTGGGACAGCCATTCGCATGGCATGCGTAAAACATGGCCCAGTTATCTCAGTTGGCGCAGCGATACCAGTCTGTCAAGTGGAAGTTCCGTGTTACCCAAGACGCGGCGTCTAACATCATGTTTGCGCCCGTAGTTCATCCACTACACTCGAGCTATTCTCTACAGACATCCATTGTCAAAGGCCGAAATCCGACGCAATTCATTCACACGAATCGGCCAGGACTCACTCCCATACAGCAGCACCGCGCGGACATAGGCATCGTAGAACCTGCCCTTTACTAATAGTGAAACTTCACGCCGTCGCCACAGATGCCTCAATTTGGCGAATGCCGAACGGGCTTTGGCAGTGCGGAGGGAAATTTCTTTTCCGATGCCATCATTAGCAGAAACACAGGTTCCCAGGTAAACAAAGATGTCCACTTGTTCAAGCTGCGTACCTTGAAGAGTAAGCACTGGGGCAGGTGGATACCAATCCAGGACCAGGACTTTGCATTTCGCAGAGGCAAAGGTCATTCCATATTTTGATGCTTCAATTATCAAGCGGTTTAGAACAGCTTGTATGCTCTGTGCGTCATCACCAAGCAAAGAAACATCATCAGCATAAGCTAAATCAGTCGTGCGGCTGCCAGGAAGATGCTCTACACCAGAACCCTGAAAGCCCTCGAGAGTGTTTAAAAGGACATCCTCGATCGCAAAATTGAAGAGAAACGGGGACATGGGGCAACCCTGTCGTACACCGCTAGTGACGGCAAAAGGTGAAGAGAGTTTACCATAATCCCTCACTTTACCTGGGATATTGCAATACTAATGCTCGAAGAATGGCGATATACTTTTCGGGTACTCCATCCCTTTATAAGCAACGCCATAAAGCTGGCTGATAGGCGAATTCGGAAGCGGCTCGGATGTCCAGCAAAACAACGATGATGAGCTGGCTTTAAAGGTTACGCGTTTCAAGGAGTTGGCGGAGCCTAAAGAAATGGTCTATACATCCTCGACCGGGGCGGAAACCAGCTTGTTCTTCACGGGAGCGCAATTCTCGAATCGGGGTTAGTCTGCGGAGTAGAACGGATGTTAACAGCTTGGAGGCGACGGACATTAGACTGATTCCTCGGTTTTTATCTCCTGGAGTACGGGCACCTTTCTTGAAGATCGGGACGATAGTTGACTCGTCTCAAGTGGATGGAACTGTTTCTTAACACCAGATCTTAAAGAACAGAGCTGTTAGCTGGTTGACAATTACTTCGCCCCCAAACTTGAACAGCTCTGGAGGAAGTCCGTCTGTGCCAGCCCAGCGGTCCATATGCCTGTGTAAGTTGCTTATCGGCGTTCCGTCAACCTCGCAAATGACCTCACTGACACCAGGTCTTTTATGACCAGTGGCCAGAATGACCTGGAAGAGTTTGCGAGTTTCCAGAGTGGTCTACCGTTTCCATCCCTGATGCGCGCTAGGACCACCAAGTTTCGCGATCAGCACTCAAGCTTTGCTTAAGTTGTTGGCTGAGAATGCGACGCAATGCACTGTTATTTGAATTGATCGGGATAACTCTACGATGATCTAACAATTCCAGTGACTGCGGAAATCCAGCTCCTCAGAGAGCGCCTTGTGATTCCGCAGATTGAATGACTGGAAGTTAGCATCGCTACACGCAGGAAACTCCAATGATTTTCGATGTCTCGAAGTGGAGCACCAATGAATGCATGCGATAAGGAAGCTTGATAAGTTGGTCGCGTCGAGAGGTCAGCTAACTTGTTGGTGTCGAGCATGTGGAACTTTCGTTTTGAGGAGCCGCCGAAGCGCATGCAGATGTTCGCACAGACCAAAGCATGATCCGAATCGAGGTACGTAGACCAAGTCGATGTACAACCGTGGACACTGCCTCGCCATCTAAAGCTGATTGCAATACGATCTATTTGTGACCACGCTTGCGTTGGTGAAGGGCGCCAGGTGGCTGACCGTCTTCTGGTATGTCTAAGGTTCGTACTACAGCAAAAGAGACGGTGGTCTTCGCATAACGTAAGAAGTCTATCACCCTTGTCAAAGCGGCTTTCATCAAGCGCGTGACTGCTACCAAGATGACGTTCGCACGGAAACAGGCGACCTACTTGTGCATTGAGATCTCCGACAAAAGCGATGACATCTGACTTTTCGGCCTTGTTCAAAAAGTTGTGGAGAGCACGATAAAAGTCATCCTTAACCTATGCACAGCTGCAGTCGGTTGGAGGGTTGGCAGAAACGACAAACAAATTGCGCCTCTCTTCACGATGTCTGTTGATTCTACATGAGCCTTGAAGCCGAACCGTACACAGTCGGCCGTCGATTAGAAACTAGTCGAGTAATGCAGCCTCCGTCGGCCGGTGGTCGAGTGGTCTGCACGTTTGGTTTGCAACCATAAGGTCACCGGTTCGGATCCACGTAGGGGTGGGCGTCGTCGCGGTACACAGCCCGCGCGCGACTGGTGGTGGTCGCGCGGCAGCGAAGCGCCGTTACGGCGTACAGCTGACACATTATTTTATTATTATTTAATGCAACCTCCGCTTTGTCACTTAATGCCATACTGACATCAGCTAAGCCGGCTGCTGCTGCCTCCATGTCACTAGACAGACGTAGGTAATATGTGGCTTCAAGAGCAGCTGGGGACGACAACTTGACAGTGCTGGGATCCTGCAATCTAGTCTGAAAGGCAACAAACATCGATGGCAAGGGACTCTAGAGTGCGCACCAGGCCAGCCTGTTGTCCAATCTGTAGGAGGGTTCGAACATTGAACGCTGCCAAACGGAATGAAGTAGGGGGTCAAAGGATAGCTAATGGTCGGATGATTTGGTTGTCAGCGAGACGGGCATTGGAAGTAGATTCAACAGGTCGTAGATTATCAATAAGAGAAAAGTTGGAGTGTGATGGAAAAGCACGAGTAGCAGCAGAAGTAAGCGACGTAGTAGTAATTGCGAAATCCATGGTTTTCACAGAGGGCACAATATTACCCTGTGGCCTAAGCCGAAGTAGGGAGTTGTCTTAGGGGAGTCCGCCCCGAGCCTTTGGCTCAGTAGCCTACCCACAAGGCAGCAGAGCGAAGTCAGGGATTCGCATTCATTGGGAGCCGATGACTTATTGCTCAGTTCATACGCCTTTCGTTTGGTGAATAGCCAAACAGGGGCCCAATCTTCTCCACGATTTTAGCATCAAGGTGCTGGGATACAATGCTTCACCAAGGTGAAACAAGGAGCAGTGATTTTATTTAGGAGCGAGTCACATCCGCCACGTCGCAGTGTTGTTAAACGGACACATGTGGCTTTTTATAGCGAGAACGCTTCCCAGGCGAGAACCCACCATGTTCTGGAACACTGCCGCTGAACCATTCGCTGGACCGAGATAATCCCGGACCACCCAACTGACACCACGAGGACGTTGTTCGGCAGGCCACTCCATAGCTGCGCCTCAAATACAAATTTGGGTTTACAGTTATTGGATTTGATCGGCCAGAAATCAATCAGCGAGGGTGCTTAGCGTCCAAAGCTAGCCGATTAGAACGAACGCTTGACTCCACTAATTTTTAGTAATAAAGATACCTTCACTATGATCAGATGCTCAGCTGTTTAGTCAGAGCCGTTTTGCTTGAATGTAGCGCTGCAATTCCCAAGATACTAATGATGCTTGTTTTCGTGATTTTCACCTCCTGATATATGGATACAACAAGTAATAAGAAGTTGAAGGCGTTAGGTTTCACATTTGATTTAGCTACACTCTCATTTTACGAATGCTTCCATCTACAAATGTCCAGTGTATTACGCGCACTGCAATGCAATAGATTTCGTATAGCGGCTCAGTGTGATGTCGCCCTGCTGACATTAGTCTTTGAGAAGCGAACATACACTTGATGTTGGGTCCCTAATTTGTTGCTTCTCGGTTCTACTCCCTCATTGATGTTCATTAGACAAAATCGGTGCCAGTGCGATCACACATTGTGAAACTCGAATCGTTTATGTGATGGAAACTTGAGAATGTCCTGCTCTTCCAGTTAAGCCATGGTACAACCACACAATACGCCGACAAGGATACGTGACACAGAACCCCGCGAACTATTATCACCGTGGTTTTATCCCAGTATATGTTGGTTCACGGCACTCGTCACCGAGTCCCCTACTTTTACATGTATTTCCTTTCTTTGCCAATAAGCAAGAACCCGCTTGTGACTTAATCTACGCTGATGGTGTACCTAAATCGTTGACTAGACCTAGGCTCCCACTTCACATCTCCCAAAAGCTTGTGCTTCACGTCAGTTCGGTATATATATATATATATATATATATATATATATATATATATATATCAGCTGAGGCTGATGTTGCATTCTTGATGCTTCTTCACCGCAGTTGGGCTAAACCAATTTACACTTAAGCTAGGTCTTTTTAAGCTGGATACAT